TGCCTGAAGCACTTGGGGCTGTGCCTGCAGCACTTGCTGCTGAGCCGAGGAATCTGAGTCGCTCTCATTGTCTTGAGGGCTCGGGATGCTGGGCGACGTGCTCCGGTTATCCTGGTCAATGTCCTTGGGATCGCTGCTCCCTTCGTCATTGACACTGCGGCTGTCGGAGCTCTCGCCTTCGCCCTCACCCTCTGAGGGAGAGTTTGGCCTGCTGATCTCCTGCAGGGAGAGGGGGAAGAACAACCACCGCGCATGAGAAAACTGCACAAAGAACATTACCAGCATGCCACAGGACGCAACCTGTTACACGTGCTGGGCAAACACAAGTGCAAGTACCACCCTTTGACCCTCACAGGACTTAAAACAGCACAGGCAACATAAATACCCTAAGGGAGGGTGCAAAGACAGCAGAGCCAGGCTCCTTTTAGCAGTGTCCAGTGGCAATGAGCACAACCGAAACACAGGAGGTTCTTCCTGAGCCTAACGAAGCACTTTTTCACTGTGAGGGTGACCAAGCAATGGAACAGGTTGCCCAGAGAGGCTGTGGACTCTGCATCTTTGGAGATATTCAACGGCCACCTGGACACAGTCCTGGGCAGGCAGCTCTAGGTGGCCCGGCTTGTGCAGAGAGGGTGGACTAGATGATCACCAGGACCCTTCCAGTCTCAACCATTCTGTGATTCTGTAACATGGAAAGCTCAGTGCCAATATTTCCAAATCCTGTGCACAGAGTGAACCTGGTCAGGCACACGGAGCTGAAAAGACATCCTGAAAGTATTTCAGTTGAGCTTTGATGCCATTAAATTAAGAGAACTCCAGTGGTGATCTTCAAACTTGCCACAGAACAGGAAAAAATGAATTGCAATTTAAAAAACAGGGGTGTGTGCGGGTTGGAAAATAATCCAAGTATATTCCTATATGGTTGATATTGATGTTAAAACAAAAAAAGCAGTTCTGGACATACACCGTATCATTCTGCTCTTTTTCAACGGAGGGAACACACTATTGGTTGCTTTCCAGCCACAGATTATGCTACAGTTTTCTCTGGCTTAAATTCATTTCGTGTTTTTGTTTTGTTACTGCATTTGCACCCCCTCCCACTCTCAAACCATTCTCCTAAGAGAAAATACCCCTCTGCGGGACTCACTTGAGTTTTGGATTTTTTGGCATTGGACCTGTCAGGTTCCTCGGTGTCAGAAGCTGCCTTTTCCCGCTGCCTCTTGGAGTTCTTCAGAGGAGAAGATACCTCTTCTTTTATCTTCTGCCATAAATGAAGCAGAACACAACAGTTACCAGTGATCTAAGTGCAAAAGTACACTGAGCATATGCCAGGGCTACCATATTTAATACAAATAAACCAGCATGGTTCCTATGGAGCTGAAAAACTGATTAGCAGTTGAGATAGTAATTAACAACAATCCAACACGCATCCGACCCTCTGTCCAACGACAGGCTGCCGGGGATTCTGCCCTCGAGCTGCTGCTGTATGCTGCCATCTGCCAGGAGCAGCTCCCAGAAGACGTGCATCCACCTAACGCTCCAGCCACTCTCTCTGGAGGTCAAATTTAAGACAGCACCCAAAGCAGACTGCAATTTTACTTCTCTAGACAGAAGCCCAAGGGGCAGTTTGCACACACCCCCTGAGCACATTTCTGACACAAGCTAGCAGGAAAAAGGAATATCAAGTAAAGCATTCCTCATCATGCAGATGTGGTCCCGAGCTTCAAAAGCAAAGGAGTATTTTAAACAAAGCAGTTGTCTACAGCTGTGCAGAATCAAGTCTGTCAGGAACTCACACCAGATCAGCTGGCCCAGTATACCCTTCTAACAGACACCAACACCAGTTAATAGAGGACGGAGCAAGAATTTCTGCAGTAGACAGGCACAGGATAAGCCTCTTTCCACTATATGCAAGTCTGGCTTTACTCCTGATATTTTGAGAGGGGTATTTTTGTATCTGCTCAAATACAGGGCTAACAGTGAGTAGCTATTACAAGATTACTACTTTCTTTCATGGCCTGGGACAGCTTTATACATCACATAATTACCCAACCTAACTTCAAATTTTGCTAAGTTTTATCATGTGAAAACTTCCTCCATACTCCAGTTTTGCCATCTTTTTTCTAAAAAATAATTTATTTTTAACTTGCTGCTTTTCAATTTACACAGCTTAATGGCAAGCCTTCCCACTTCATCTAGCTTTGTTTCTTCAGTACTCTCTTGGAAAGGCACTTATTCATTTAAACAGACTAAACTGTCAGCCTGCTCTGAAAAATCAGGCAAATATACACGCAGAAAAAACAGTAGCAGAAGTAGTCTCAATTACTAGGTATTAATATTCCTTTGTAAACAAAGATTAAGTACTGCTTAAAAAAGAAAAAATCCCCAAAACTGTCTACTTGTCTCATATATAGCATTTCTGATCTGTATTACTTCCATGAGCCTAATGCTTGCATTTGCATCCAAAATTGAAGGATTAATTTATGATGACAGCAGTAAGGTTATGCAGGGACACTGTAACGGCTTTTGTCACTACACAGCCTTCTGCACGGGAACAAAGCATCACCCAGATGCACCATTTAATTTTTTGCTTATCCACACAAGTAGGAATTTCTGGGTCACCAAGAGATTCCCTGGCCTCCAGGAACCTGCAGCTCTTTTAGCTGACTGAAGAGGCCTCAGGTGTCCAGTCCTAACACAAAAGGTGAATGGCCAAATTTTACCTTGGTAGACTTCTTCACTGAATCTGCTTTGCTGTCATTACTGGAGGTGCTGGCAGCGCTAGGAGAGTTGCGGCCACTGGAGCGGATGTCTTCATTGATAGGTGAGGCTCTACCATCAGGGCTGGCTGGCTGCTTTTTACGACCACTACGTAGTGTAGACATCTATTTGTTTAACAGAAATAAAAGCACATCAAAGTCAGCATTTGTCCCACCTCTTTATATCTTTCTCTCTTACAGCAGGAGCATGGATGGAGCACCCTTGCTAAGAGCTCGAAAAATGAAAAACCAAGAGCATTTACCATTGTTACAGTTTTTCCTTGGAAGTTCATCTGGACTTAAAGGTAGAGAAATGCTTAATTTGTCTACTCAAAAACATTCAGTGCTGATTATTTTATTTAGCAATGTCTGCTAGAAATGACAGCAGAAAGACGTTCCAAAGCTGCTGCTGTTTGCAGGCTAAATTTTCTCCACAGAACGCACGCACACCTGTAAGCGTGCATACACACACAGTGGATGAGGTAAGAGGGGACCTCATGTTCCATTTAAAAAAGTCTATCTGGTGACATTCAAGCAGTCAAGACCAGTTTGTAAAACCAGTTTCGGTGTGGTCCTGCTGTGCAGTGAGGAATCTCAGTAGAGTATATTTCAATAACCAGGGCTGTTTCCCTCCCAGTCTGGCCGTTTTTTGGATGACTGGCTACTGTGAAAACAAGGAAGCCAACCTTACCTGACAGTGCAGCCTCACAAGGTATTTAGAAGCTCATATCATTATGATCAGAAAGATGGAGAGACGAGGGCAAGGAGAAGAAATGTATCTGCTGCTTTCTATCACCCAAAACCCAAAGCAAACATCATATTCACTAGGGCTGCTGTCAGAGTTCCCACCAGTGACTGGCACACAGTCGGGCGCCTGGCACTTCGCCCCGAGTAACAACTCTGTGACAGCACACTAACCATGGGAGCAACCTACAGTTTTCTGGAGGGAAGAGATTTTAACTCCAATAAAATGAGAAGACCAAATGAAGAGCATTTAATTTTTTAACACTCTTCCTTTAAAACAAGCCCCAGGGCTCACCTCCGTCAGGATCCAGCTGGAAGCAGGATATGTATTAGTACAATATCCATAATGATACACTGGTCAAGTGTCCCCTTATGATGACAGTCCATTGCCAGTCATTAAAACACGAAAATAACAATTTTGGCTAGAACTTGCAGAAGAGACATTTCAGCTCCTTTTTCCCAAAGAAAGCCTCAACCTCAGCAAATCTCACCCTTGCGCAGGCAAACGCAGCAGCAGGCACACGCCATGGCAAACCAACAAGATGGAGAAAGCGTCATTTTAGCAGTCTGGCTACCTTTTTCCAGACACCACCTCCGCTTTACAGAAGAAGCTGCAATGCAAGAGTGTTCAGCCTACCGAGCCTCGACTCCGCCTTGTCCTCATGCTATGCTTTCCACTAAGTCCATCATCTTCCTCTTTGACAGGCTTAAACATAAAGGGTGGAGGGTCTACGGGCTTCTCAATGGGTGGCAGCTCTCCGTATTTTTTGAAGTGAATGCGACAATCAGTGCACAATAAAATGTTTTCTCGACCGCCGTGGTGCCAGTCCTTGGAGGCTTGGGGCAGGAAAAGCAACAGCTTAGAAACACGCAACGTACCAGACACTCCACACAAACACATTGCATTACTACAAAAGCATGGGACAACTAGGAAACGAGCTGCTTTTCTACGGGCAATAAAGTTGAAGAAATTTCTGGAAAACTTTGTCCTGTTCCACATTTAGTCTGTGTTTCATCTTCAATTTACAGACTATTTGGTTACTTAAGCAACTACAGCTTTGAAAACAAAGACACAAGCCTTATCTGCTCTATCTGGGAGCTAACAGGCAGCTGTTATTCTCCAAAGCTGTGGGTTTTTTTTTAAGTGAAGGGAGCTATCACCTTCTCATTTCCTCCCCTCCTCAATTTCGGGCTCACACCTCCACGCCATGCCTATGCCCAAACCGCAGACAACCTCCAGGAAGACCTACAGGAATAAGGCTGCTGCACAAGAGGTTTGGTGCAGCGTAAAGCAGCATTGTGTGTGACAGTCACAGTCCAATACTGGCTTGCCGTACCACAAACAGATTATACAGATTACGGACTGTGTAGATTTTTTTCCCCGTATAAATGTCTACCTCTCAGGATTCTCCTTCGTCACTGCTATATTAATTTGCAATGGCAAAGCATGATTAACTCTGCTCAGAATGCTGCATACTTTAGCTGATTCAACCCCACATTTTTTGAACAGCTGTACGTGCACACCAACTGCTCTTGCTTGAATGAACTTGCATTAAACAGGCAGCAGCAGCAAGGAGAGAAATCCAGCAATGAATCGGGTGCGTACTGGTTGTGAAGCAGTGGCGACAGGCGTAGCCCTTCAGTTCCTGTTCACTGTCCTCGCTGTCAAAGTCATCTTCGCTGGCCGAGCTCAAGTCCACTGAATAAGTAAAGAACAAGGGAAGAAGAGGAAAATGGAAAAGAAAAAACTCTGCAGGATTTTCTGTTTCTTCCTACATGACTAAAATAACCATTAATAACAGTAATTCTCACCTAAATTTTGTGACTTCGTACAACCACCTGGCCTTGGATGGCCACTATTTCCCATTTTGCAAACTAATCAAGGCCAGACCTGACCAGTCTGCAGATTAAAGGAGGATTCCAGGAATGCACCAAGTCATACAATTCACAGTACTTTTCCAATTAAGTTGTTGATCAAATACTGTTCATGCTCAGTTAGAGAGGCTGTGTTCCAAAAGCACAATTTTCCACAGAAAGGAGGTTTATACCTCTAGAACATGGTCAAATTGAAAATAAAATATTCTGTACCTAAATCCTACTTTACTAGATTCCATGAGCAGATACTGTGGTGGCTTTTCTGATTTTTATTTTGTTTCTAGATTTCATCTTCTAGATCAGACGGGGCTGTTGCTACGCTCTGTTAGACAGCGGCTCGCTCTAACCCAAGAGCCAGATAGGTTCCATGGGTGGAAGAAACGATGCTTGCATTTAATGTACCTGTCTGAAAAACACGATTCTTTTGGATGAGAGGTACTACAAGGATACTACTAGCTTTCCAATTCTTACTGCAAGCCTCCATAAGTTTTAACCTGTGGCAAACTTACATTTCAAGAACATGGTGTTTTGAAGAAGTGGAGAACATGGGAAGGGTCACTTTCCTTTGTGGCAAGCAGTATATAGCAAATTAGTCGATTACAAGGCTGTGGGCTAGAAAGCACCATCCAAACCACGGAAAATCAGCAGACATCACAAAACCTGTATCCTACCTCATCTTCTAAAACACCTCAGGAACAAATGCTTTCTTATTAGAGAGCGTACTGCATTTTTCTAGCCCCACCACTATAAACTCACAACACAACAGGTCTGTAATTTGTCACAAGCAGAAAGCCCTGTGGGTTCTTTTGTTCACATCTATAATTAGAAAAGGAGTCCTTGATGCAAGAATACTGTTTTTCTAAAGGTTCCAAGAGGATTTTTTGTAATACATACAGGTTACAGAGAGGGAGGAATTCTACAGTACTGGTTGTGATGCCATTAACATTTGTCATCAACGCCATTACCCTTCAAATTAACACAGGGTCCCGTTTAGTAACAGTAGCTGATAGCACTACCATAATTTCAACATTAATTCTTGCAGGTGTTTAAACCCTGACTGCAAAATGGACAGCAGGCTAAAACTTGCTGTCTTTTACTAAATTGATTTTTATTCTCATCCAGCAGTCGAATCCATATGGGTGGGTCCTTCCAGCCACATGCAATCTGAAGCGATGAGTATCTTGGATCGAGCTGTAGGGTCAAGATCCTCGCTTCTTGTGCACACAGAAATCGGCAATAAATCCTATCAACTTCAGCAAGGAGAATCTAACAGCCCTTTCTTACTACCACACCAATACCCTCTCCAGAATTCTCTATCCTGCCTGCTCACCACATCCTCTACCTCCCCTATATTAATAAGATTCTGCCAATTTCTGCCTTCCATGTAGTCCCTTTCCTTTAGAAGCCATGTGAAACATGCTGGGTTTAGTCCCTAGAAAGACTTCGATCTCACAGGGTAACATAAGCCTTTTATGTAAAAGTTTATATATCCATACGGACATTACGAAACGTAACCCTTTGCAATGCAGTACGGTTCACTGGTTTGGATAATTATTCTTTGCTTAGACACTTCTGCTTCAGTCAAGGCCAAAGTTCTTCCAAGATGCATTAAGATGCAACAGAGCTCACGCAGAAGGTCTGGGTCGCCAAGGAAGGACGACAGGGGCTTCCTGCTTTTTGCATTTTCTAATTGCCATTACTGTCATAAGTCTGGAGAAAACACAACACACAACCAAGAAAAGAGCAGGGCAATTCAGTACCAGGGCAACGTTTCCATCCTCACAGGATGCTTTTATATTTAAGAACTGCACAAAGCACCTGGTGATCAAAGACGCCTACCACATTCCAGCATAATGGTACAGCACAGGAGAGGGCAACTGCCTGAACTCCATTTCCTTCCTTCAGTCACTGCAAGGTACAGCACCATCACATTACTGCTGCTCCCTACATCTAAACAAAGATAAACGCATTGCTTTTCGCTTCCACTTACAGAATTCACTGGAGGGGGGCCTGGAGGGAGTGTTGACTGGAGTGGAAGCAGTTCGAGTTTTAATTCTCCGAAACACAGCCTGTCTTCGATGCCTACGGTGGGCTCGAGAACTTGCTGCTTCAGGGGTTTTCTTCCAATAGTAATAGAAGGTGATTAGTTCTCCCTGCAAATACAGAAGGAGTATGTTAGAGGGGCATGCAAATCTGACTTGTCAGCTTTTTCTCCTCCCTTTTGCTCTCTGTATGCGTACAGATGTATTTTTGTAGGAAGCTTCACGATGTGTTTCAGCCAGACAAAAGAATTCTTTAGATAAGACAGAAAAAAAAAAATCCTCATTATTTTTTGTTTGCTTTTGCAGGGGAGGAACAGAATGAAATCAATGCCTTCTCACTCCTCTCCTCCTCCACTAGAAAAGAAAAGAGGCTGGGCAGCAAGCATCCAGCTTCCACTGGGAGGGCTGGTCTCAGCAACTGGGAAGGGGGTTCCGTCGCCGCGCCGGCAGCGCCCCGCAAACCCCTCTGCCCAGCTCCGGAGGCACTGCGTCCGGAGAGGTGCCGCCTCTCAGCCAGCTCTCAGTCAGGACAAAGAACTGGCAACCGCTACCAGTTCTCTGGTGTTTACAGAATGAGTAAGGATCAGTTCAAACAGATACTGCCATTTCGTCAACCTACATTCTGCGTACAGATTTTTTTTTAAATATTCCTGTTTAAAAGGCTGAAAGTTGGAATAGAAACGTGTTCAACGAGAAGTCTATAACCATAACTCAACCCTACTATAGCAAATCGTGTTCTAATTTGAATATATATGCCCACATCTAAATTAATTAAGCAGTTAAAAGAGCACACCCAGAGAAATGTGTGATAATTTCACAGCATAATGAAGCTGGCTTACATTCAAAAGCTGGAGCAGCTGCCATTCAAACCAGCGGATGTAACGGCCGAACCAAAGAACAGCATGTGGTTTTAATCTCTTTTCTCTTACTTTGAAACCCCATCATTTCCTGGCGACTTGTCTGCCTCGAAGGTAAAAGGTGTTGTTTCTTTCAAGTTGCAAGAGAAAAACGGAAAAGTTCTAACCAGCCCCTTGAAAAATCAACATCAGAACAAACATACCTGAATTGCCCACAAAAAGGCTTTCTTTGAACTGCATTTTGTGTGATCAAATAACAGACCCTCGGCCGCTCCCTCTGTGGGGAAATCCCGCAGCCTGCTCTGGGGCAGAGCGCGCCAGTGAACGCCAACCAGGACCCACCCTTCATCCAGGCTCTCCCAAGGGCCCCCGACCGGCAATTACAGCCGTAACCAACATCTGCACCACTGAAACACTTGAAAGACAAAAGGAGGATGCTGTTCTACACATCAACTGCTGACATTTAAGACACTTCACAATTTTACCAAGGCCTAATTTAAAAGCAGAAACACCAGAAAAAGAACACAACCACAACTTTGATTTCTGGCGATAGGCAGAACAGACGCATTTTTAATCTGTGCTGCTATAGACAGGGGTTGACGCTACTGATCTCCACCGCAGACCTGAACAAGATTCACAAACGGTACTCAGAGTGATACTCAGGAAGGAGGAGAAAGGAGTAAGTGGGCAAAATCAATCACTGCCTACAATTGAGGATTCTGAAGGACAAAAGCCCTACTGAAAAAATAATACATATATACATATATACACACACACAACTCTTGCGTGAAAAGAATCTAAAACTGAAATGGGCGCAGGCTGGCAACGAGCATTCAAGCTCTGTCAGGGACGAACACAGAGTTCTGACACCCAGCACCCCGCTCTGCTACTGCACGTTCAGCTGTACCTGTTTGCTTTAGGAAAAACATTTTACTCTGAGTCCATTCAGTGGGCTCAAAGTCCGGGCGGCACCAGTGTTTGTCAAGCCGAGGATATGCCCCGTGCCAGGAGGCAGGCGAAGCTCTGCAGAAAGGCTTATGCAATGCTTTCCAGAGGTAGAAAGTCTCCTGCAAATGCAACCAGCCACATTTTACCCATAAATTCATTTGTATCAAATCTGAGGTGTCAGCACCAAGGAGCAAGTCAGTAAATCCCATGTCTTTATGTCAGTGGATTAATGTGTCCTCTCACATATGGCAACAGCAGAGTGCAAACCAATCTGTTCTCCTCCCGCCATAAAATACGAAATGCGAACCTATTTGATCTCTATTTACTCACCGCAAACCCATCAGGTCCCAAGGGAAGTTTAACAACTTATACATGCGCTACATCATAAACCTTAAACCAATCATAAAAAAGAAACCGTGTATATTTATAAAAAAATACTAACTTCATGATCATAATGCTTTTTTTCCTGAGACCCTCCCAAAACTGCAGTCACAACCGCACATAAAGATGAAATAGAAGTTTATCCAAGTTATACCCCTTCTACGAAACCTGGATATAGAAAAGGACTAGAGAATATTCTGTACTTCCAATTCATCGTCAGACTGCACAGCTACACGACTCAGTAAATGACTCCACTTTCTGACAAAGATGAAGCAGTAAAAGCCAGAGAGGAAGCATACACAGAGCACGTTAACATTATATACATACACACAGGTTAGACATTTACTACACCAAAAAAATTCCATGTCAGATGTTATTAGCTGCCTGGCTATCTAGTATTATATTGTCTACCTAAGGGATTAACTGCTGGAGGGGAGTGAGCCTGGAAGGATTAGAAGCAGCATATTGGTGACGGCACGGGTGGCAGAAGCTTGAGCACAAAGGAAGAAGCCAGGAAAGCTTTGGTTCCACAAACAGGGAGCAAAAACAGCTTCCAGCTTCACTACAAGTGAAGTCAAATGAACTTTAATCAAACATGCATAGCGTGCGCTGCCAAAACCCATCGCACATAAATTCAGGGAACAAAAGCTGCTGCAGAAATCAATAGCCTACTGAAACATTAACACAGGCGAGCATTGATCAAAAGGCCCTTTTACAAAAGGCAGCCTTGCAAATTAGCTGCTGGTTTTGCTTGCAAGCAAACAGAAAAGCATAAACACCGCTGACATGAATGGCCTGTAATGATCATTTTGTTCCTGGCGATCTCACCTCACCTCACCACAAGGTCTCGCAGTCAACACATCCTACATCTCCGCGCTGTAATTGCGAACAGCGTGATGAACCGAGGCAGTCTGGTGCCTGCTCGCTGGGGGAGCGCTGAGAGCAGCTGCTCTGAATCTCATTTTCTGGGTAGCAGGTCTACACCCGGGGGAACAGTCCTAACCCAACCACCTGCAAACACATTGTATGTCTCATTCGAAGAGTTTTGTGCCAAGAACTGGGGATTGCTAGCAACACGCGCACTAAAACCACGCAAGGTAAAGCAGACAACCATCCTTCATTGTATCGTTACACTCGTTCATCTTAAGAGTGACATCTCCCTCATTTCTAAACTCCAGAGATAAATTAAGGAAGGGGTGTGACCACCGAAGCAACTACTACCTGTGGCGAGGTCTCTGGCTGATGGTGGAAGAGAAACTCAAGGCTTGCAAGCCAAGTTCAGGGAGGGCTGAACCTGCTGCTTGAAACAGTGACCCTGTCGGTCACTCTCTACTCCAGTTTCGCGGCCGGAAGGCACAGACCATCTGAAGTTAGGAGGAGACTGTCTCCTCTCGCAATAAGCACCATCCAACTGCTTCTGTCACCCTCTTCTCTTCCCTGCACCCCATAACATGCTCCTCCTTAATCAACTTCTGGAACCACCAATGAAACAGGCATTAACTACCTCACAACAAAATGGTAAATGTAAGCGATGAACGACACAGCTTATTACCCCTTCGAATGTGAAGTAGCAAAATTTTACACGGCTGCACATACATGGATGACCCATAATGCATGCACGAACGAGAAACATCAGTGTTCAACAAAGCAGTCCCTCATTGCACACGAAAAAAACAGTCTTCAGCAAAGCTCCCAGTCTAAGGAATTGGAGCAGTCGTAACATTCCAGATGTTTGGAGGTAATACAGCCAGTATTTGAGGCAACTGTCCAGCAGGAAGGGTTTCCATGTCCAAGTCACTGCTTCTTTCACCAGCACTGTTAACGGGCTGCCTCCTCTCCCTGAAACCCACCACACCTCTCAGACCCCAGCTGTTGCTGACACAATCGTCCATCTGCATCACTACCAATAAAGCCAGTAGATAAGCAGGAAAGTCCCAATAAAAGGACCCACAAGTCTACTCCACCACCACCACCCGTGAAAGCAGCAGCTCTAATCCCTGTACTGTGCCACATCCAAGGAAAACGCTGTTCGTGCCCTCCCAGATCAGCTCTGCCAAGGAACAGCTTTTTCCATCAGCGCGGGGAGAATATTCACTTCTCTCCCAACCTGCTTAGCTGGTCACAGTCACAGCTTCACCTCCGCGTGCTACAAGGCCACCTCTCCTTCCTGCAAACATGCCTCCATTTTACTACGCTACCCTCCGATTCACCGTCCCAAGCAATCTATCAAACACATATAAAGCAAAATGAGAAGCATTGTTCAGGCTTTTAATGCCACCTTTCCTTGAGAACATCTACATTCCCATTACCGAAGTTTCACAAGACAGAGGGGATATGTTCTTCGCTAAAAACCATGGTTCAGCTTCCATCAATTCCGAAACGCATCCGGATCCTACAACTCCTCAAATCTCTTCCCTTCTCCTGCCAAGGCCATTGCACCCCAGGTTGTAGGTACACAGAAAGAAGTCGCACTTCATCTCCTTTAAGCTCTGTTCTAGGGATTATTTTTAAAGAGCAAGCAACGGTTCAGATCCACTCCCGCAGGATCACGCAGCAGCAAGACTTCCTCAGCAGTTCAGCTCCGGAAGCTGAGCTGAACCAGGAGTCTTGAGGTGCCCGACAGCCGCCCACCCCCAGCCCAGCACTGCTGCTCACGCTGCACAGCCCATCATCCGCGTTTACTAAGAGCTTACTTCCTTGGCATGTAGCACCTCTCTCTCTCCCACCACGTTCACCCATACGTTTTTGCAGCTGAATCAAGCTCTCCAAGCACATCCCGGAACTCCGGGGCAGCCCTTACTCACCCTTCCATACCCTTAACAAACGGAGGGAGCGCCACGAAGCGCTGCACGCCCTGGTTTCTCACTTCTTATCAGCAGTTTTCAAACTGCAAACACACAATACAAGCTGTGCCCCATGTTTGTG